ACTTGAACACGAGCCCGACACGGATGGGTATTCCCACTGTGAAAGAAGCCCGTGTATCGCGTGGTAGTAGTGTTACTGCACAACCTTCCCATGAAAAAAGTATTAAAAAATTCAATTGACTTCGACATAGATGTGTCTTAATAGCCTAGATTAGCTGAAGGCATGTAAAATACCCAAGACAAAAAAAAGTCGTAGGCTAATATTACATTTGTCGTACGACAACGATTTTAGATTGATTTGGTTATCAGATAGAGTTTTATCAAGAACTCTATTTGATAGCCAATCAATATATTGAAAGATAAAGTAATGAGACGCACTACTTAAGCATTCGCGAGAAAATCGAATTTGAAAATTTCGAGTTACTTTATAAGGATATTAAATAGACAAAAAAAATAGTGACGATTAAAACACTAACTTCAATAAATCTCGTATATATGTTGTATAAAGTTTCGGTCTTGGTACATTTTTGTAGACTTGACTTCTTAGTGTTTCGAGAGTATTTCATATTCTTATAGCGTGAGAATATATTTGCAAGTTTTGGCGAAATTCCTTATATTTCTGAGCGCTTATGGAATGCGGATGTCTATTGAAGGAATTTTTATTATTATTAACACTAATTTTTATTTTAAAAAATCAAAAGACAATAAAATGTACACTGAGATATACAATTAAAATGATGATAAAAGACTTGGAAAAGGCAAACAAGTGTGGTCTAATAAAATTTTTTTATCTTCGAAAAATAGTACTAAACTAAAGCCGAGCGGCGGTAACATGTATAGAGAAAAGTTGTTCAGAATCATGTCCCTAATAACATATTTCAAACTCATTAAAATCGGAGAGGAAGCCTCTAATCTAAATAATTACCAAAATAACAAATTATAATAAATATAAAGTATAGTAAATCATACAAATATATTTATAATTATAAATTATATAATATTTCGATTTATCTTTAAATAGAAAACAGGAAATATTAAAATGAAAAATCATTTCTTTATAGAATAAACACATTGTCCGAAGATAAATGGTGTTGACATGGGTTGACATGGGTTGACATGGGTTGACATGGGTTAGGTGCTGTAAATAAAAGAATTTTTATAAATGAAACAGTATAATTTCGGAACAAAAAAGACATTCAAATAGTTCACAAGGTGCTAAAATTTTTTTCTTGTATGTCTAAAATATGGTCAGTCTGAAACGTTTATCCATTTCCGGCTGAAAAAAAAAAGAAAGTTAAAACGACAATTTAATAGCAAGGTTAGAAACTTTAATTTACGGACTTACAAGAGGTGCCTATTCTGAGGGTCACCGATTTTTACGAAACTTTGCAAAAATGTATATTACAAGAGGTGCCTATTCTGAGGGTCACCGATTTTTACGAAACTTTGCAAAAATGTAGTATGAATATAGGAGCAACAAATGCTAAAAGATAACGACGCACCTCAAGCGTTTTCGAGAAATCGCGGTTTGAAATCAGCACGCAGCTTAAGAGAGTTCTGGAGTTTTCTGTTATATCAATTGAACGAGTAATTCGTATCTTAGATTGCATTTTCGCGGCCTGAATGTAATGCTGCGAGCGAAAGATCTCGAATCTACACCGGCGGATTTGTCCGGGTCGGTCTCTTTCAAGCATATATGTAATACTTCTATATTGCTAGTCGCGTATCTTCGCAATGAGAGGCACGAGGCCCAGTGAGTTTATCAATTGAAAAAGCGGACTGAATCGGGCCTCGAATCTTAAAATTGTGTGTGGGATATGTGGAAGAGGAATGTAAAGAAATATTGTACTTAACTCTAAAGGGGAATCAATAAAAATTCATTTACTTTTTATATTGTAAAATAAGACTACTGCATTACATAAAAAATATTTGCAGTAACAATAGACATATTATGACAAAATTGATATTATTTAAAGATCAATAATATTTCTTTAACATTCCTCTTCCATATCTTCATCCAATTTGAAGCTTAAGATTTGAGAAGCTCGATTCAGTTCGCTTTTTCAATCGATAAACTCGACTTGAAAAAGACCGGCCTGGAAAAATCCGACGATGTGAATTTGAAACTCGAGATCTCCCGCTCGCAAAACCACTAGGTTTTGTTTTACAATATAATTTTACAATATTACGCGAATTTGCAATTAAAAACAATATAATTCATTTTTAATTACACTGAAACTTCATTTATTTTCCCTCTCACTTATCTTCTCACTCGTTTATTTTCCCACAAAATCTCTCAGTTATATTCTCATTTAGTTTCTCCTCTAACCCCCACGTGAATGCTATACAGAATCGTTAAGATAAGATTGATAATCTCTACCAGAGATAGTCAAAGAAACAAATAAGTAATCTTAATTATCAGACATACCACGGATGGCAAATGCGTTTTTAATGCATAAGAAAAAGTGATCCCACACAAAATCATCATTAGACGACAACACCCATACAGAAAAAAAAATCCATTAAACGTCTATTAGACAGCTCCATGCGACATCTAATAGATGTCTAATGAAAGTTTTGTTATGTGTGGGATGTGATGTTACAAAAATTCCGAGCACCGATCGCATACTCGTTTTGATATTTTTATAATTTTGACATTTTGTATCTAGTAAAAGTACACTGGAATAAACAGCTATGCGAGAAGTATTTACTGAAGAGGACCGTAATGTACGATCAGGTCGAAATCGTTTTTTTTTTTTTTTTATTGGGTCTTTTACGTGCCTGCAGCCATTCTTGGCTATTATATATATATATGTATATAAGACACATTTATTATTATAGTAAGTTAAATCTTTATACTCGTCTCACGGGGAGGATCGTGCAGTACTACCACGCGATACACGGTCTTCTTTTCACAGTAGGCGTGCCCATCTGTGTCGGGCTCGTGTTCAAGATGTTGTGACTATGATCGCCTTGTGGGAGGAAGATTAATTTGGGATTACATCCGAATTAATTTTTAGTTCGCCGATCAACCGATAAACTCGGTTGAAAGAGACCGGTCCAAAAAAATCTTTATGCCGGGACTAGACTATGCGCGCATTCGCGATTCGTAATTCGCGATTCGTAGCGATGCGCTACGTAGCTACGTAGTAGTCACGCGAATACACGCAAAAAGTGTGTTTGTATAATCGCGAATCGCGAATCACGAATCGCGAATGCGCGCATAGTCTAGTCCCGGCATTAGGTGATAAGCGGATTTTAACTCGGGACCTTCAGGTTCGCAGCCCCTGCACTCAGGCCGCAAGACCACTGGGTCGAAATCGTTTAAATACATATTTACACATCGAATTCCTGACGCGCTGACATATCGAATTCCTGACGCGCTGTGTAAATATGTATTTAAACGATTTCGACCGACCGGCCCAGTGGTCTTGCGGCCTGAGTGCAGGTGCTGCGAACCTGAAGGTCCCGAGTTAGAATCCGCTTACCACCTAAAAACAACTTAACATTCAAAATCAATACAAAAACTAATATACTTTTAAAAAACAGGCTGTTTTGTGACGGCGGTGATGGAAAATAAATTGTGGAGTTTTTAAAATTATTTATTTTTATAATAATTATTAACTTACATGTGATATATTTGTAATGCAAATTATATAGAGCAATTTAAAAAAAAAAAAAAAAAAAAAATTAAAACCAACGATATGAACCGAACCGGCGACCCCGCACTTAAGAACTATAGCGCTTACTCGCTGCGCCACGCGATTCTCGCGAGCCGTATATCTTATTATGTTATATAACGAGCTCTGAAATTTTAACTTGATTTTCTCTGTAATGGCTGAGAAATGTGTCTTACTACTTTACCCTGTTGAAGTCCTAGTCATGGCCTACACGTGTAGCAAAAATGAATCGAATCGGCAGGGGCCACTTTGTAGCTTCCTGTAAAATACGAATTACTCGTTCAATTGATATAACAGAAAACTCCAGAACTCTCTTAAGCTGCGTGCTGATTTCAAACCGCGATTTCTCGAAAACGCTTGAGGTGCGTCGTTATCTTTTAGCATTTGTTGCTCCTATATTCATACTACATTTTTGCAAAGTTTCGTAAAAATCGGCGACCCTCAGAATAGGCAGCTCTTGTAATATACATTTTTGCAAAGTTTCGTAAAAATCGGTGACCCTCAAAATAGGCACCTCTTGTAAGTCCGTAAATTAAAGTTTCTAACCTTGCCTTGCTATTAAATTGTCGTTTTAACTTTCTTTTTTTTTTGTCAGCCGGAAATGGATAAACGTTTCAGACTGACCATATTTTAGACATACAAGAAAAAAATTTTAGCACCTTGTGAACTATTTGAATGTCTTTTTTGTTCCGAAATTATACTGTTTCATTTATAAAAATTTTTTTTATTTACAGCACCTAACCCATGTCAACCCATGTCACCATTTATCTTCGGACAATGTGTTTATTCTATAAAGAAATGGTTTTTCATTTCAATATTTCCTGTTTTCCATTTATTTAAAGATAAATCGAAATATTATATAATTTATAATTATAAATATATTTGTATGATTTAATATACTTTATATTTATTATAATTTGTTATTTTTAATATGCATTTTATTGTTTTATATAACCTAACCTAACTTTCGACTAGACCTAAAAAAAATCCTACGAGAACTGTAGACTAGATCATAATTTTGTCATTTACAGTAATTCCTCGGTTCCGTGACTTAAACGTGATATTTTATATAATAATTTTGTATAATACTGTAAAATCTAATTTTGTATAATATATATAGAATTATATTTTATATAAATGTAGTACGCAGAACAGAACGTTGTTGACATGTTGTTGACTGCATAAAGTGGGGATAGCGTGTATGGAAGGAAAATTCTATCTTGTGGAAGATCCGCCTTTCTGCTTAGGTAACAACCAATCAACTTTCATAGCACCTAGTAACTTTGCCGCTACGTGGCCTCCGTGATGTAGGGAGAAGAACAAGAGTGCAAGGTGGGGAGAAGTTTATAAATGGGCCCTTATGAGGTGAAACAGCGTCTCTTTAGTGACTCTCGCAGATTGTATCGTTTGCTAGGTTCATATCGTTGGCTTCGAGCGCGTTGCAGTCCGTTTCACGTGCGTGGTACTGAACACAGTTTTCGGTTTTCTTCGAGTAACAAAGTACTCGATTTTGTAGTATTACTTTCGACTTGTACAGCATCTTAGAATTTGTGACAAACCGCGATCATCGGTAATTTTTTATATTTCTTCAAACTTGGACTCAACACACACGATCGAGACGCGGCACATCACAAGACAGTGAAGAAGAGACATCAAGCGTCAACAATCTGGTCTTCGCACTCGACACCGATTACCGGAACGCCAAATTTCACGAGACCCGTGCTATTTTTAATGTATTGTATCGATTATGGATGCAAGCATGGCTACGCAAAACGAGGTAAGTCTCCAATCTCTTACTTGCATGTGCTGTAAAAGACAAAAGATACATTGCTCGTTCGCACAGATTAACTGTACTATTGAGGTTATGTTATCGTCCTGCCCGGATAAAAATTCAACATATTTTTTTGTTAATTTTTTGAAATATCTTGCCGAACAGATTTGCTTTGAACTCAGTTATGAGTGAATATATGCTGAGAGAGTAACACACGTAATATGTTCGTGTAACTTAATTTACTTACGATAAACTCGGCTTTGAATATACGTACCTACGGTACATTCAGTAGCACGTAAATAGAATTTACTTGTTCGTTAATTTTTCTGATTGAAAGAGAAATTCGAACTTAGTCGTAAGTGAACATATGTCGAGAGTTAAGAGGAGGAAGAGATAATTAATACAATCTAAAGCAGTATCGTGGAATCGCAAATTGCAGAAAAAAATTACATTTCATATAGTTGATTTTCATGCCCACATTTAGTCTCAAGTGTACTATGTTGAATTACATGTTTCGTATTACGTTGACCGAGATAACAGTGGTGGAATGTATTTCTTATTTTATTGTTTCCTATAAAGAGCGGAATCACATAACGCGTATTTCATCTTCTACGTTCTACGGGAATAAAACGCGTATAACTGGTACAAGTGGCATCACATTATTTATAACTGTGTTAAATACGATAAGAATTTTGGAAGATTATGTAAAAACAAACGATAACGTATAGCAATCGATTTTTTGTCAAGAATGATCAGTTTAGAGAGTGTAATTTTTACAAACGGTATCTAGACACGAAGATCAAGTTTTGTTCAAATTTTCATTGTATGGCGTTACTGCTTAGATTTGGATATTGTTCTCCTCAAAAACATTATTTAAGCGATTTCTCAGAAATCACTTCTGATAGGTGTGATTCGGAATAATTAGAGAAATATTTATCTATCGTAGTATCAAAGTATATATAGAAAATCAGATAATGTTCTAGTATTATCTAAAACTCTGAAAGACAAGTGCGCCGTGGACGGTAAATGAGTTTTTTTGTTCTTTATAACAATTTCTGAAAAATGAGAAAAATATCAAAATCGAAAGAATTTTCTGCTCGTTTTCTCCTTTTTTCGTGGAATAATTAAGATATAACGTTAATGTAATTTAAATTTCTCTACCGTGGAAATAGCGAGAGTTAATCGATTAACGATTAGTTAATCTTATCTTAAATTCTTTCGTAAGATGGATACGCGTGCCGCAGGTAGTAAATATAAAGTGTTTTGGATTCATAGACAAAAAATTGTTTCCTTTGACGATTTACTTTTAAGGTCAAGATGACTTTTTCTTCGGTGATTTACGAGTTTGGTGGGCGAGTAAAATGATATTTAGCAGAGAATGTGCGTGTGTGTCATTCTTATTTTTTTATATTCACTTTGAATAATTTCACTTTCACTGTGTTGATCTTGTCGTCTGAGAAGCAAGTGTATTATGAAACGAGAGATATTTATATACAACAAAAGAAGGAAAGGACGAAAAGAGTCATTTACTAAAGAATTGATTTACCAAACGGTATTATTTGTAAGAGAGTTGAAATTTTAAATATTCTCAAACTATAATTTTTAGTATATATATTCAAATTATTCTACTTAAATTATAATTGTTCAAAATTATTTTTATGAAAGCTACATCGAAAAAGTTACATAATAATCATGATTATTTTTCAATTAGGAAAAGAATCTAACTAAAATATATTTGAAAAAATATTTATTCTTTTTGAGGCACAGACATTTTGCTTCTAACAATGATTTGATTCTTTTATAAAATTGTGGATTATTTTTTGGAATATTTTACTATCTTCTAATATCACACATTTTGTATGTTACATTTCTTTTTCAAATTTATTCAATAGTTTATTCAATAGTTCAATTTTTATTTAAGATTTATGGCTTTGATTTTTCAAACACAGTTATGTGAGGTTAGCTTGCAAAGTGTTGGTAAATTAATCCTATTTTTTAACTTCATATTAATAAATATCGTATTTTCATCGAAACATTTGAAAATGATTCTATTATGAAAGAATTATGAAAAACATTTTTTTCTACTATGAAGTAGATCTTTTAATGTTGTTAACAAGTATTCAGCACAAATAATGTATAAGTTGCAAAACTACATTACTACAGTTTCATTTCTTACATAAAAGTTCGGCATTGTTTTCTTTTACTTTTATGAAGGAACAATATTGAAGTAAAAAGATTAAATAATTGATTCATTCATGACGTATGGATTTGTCCTTAAAGTCATTTTGATAATTAATTGCTAGCCAGTAGAAATGTAAACCATCCAAGTGATTAACATTTGTATCCTTGTTGTTATTCAAAGAAATCTAATATTGCAGGATCTGAAAAAGATGAGAAAATAACATAAGAAAAATTAAATTATCTTTGTAAATGTGTAAAGTACTGTGTCCTATACATGTGTCTTATACTATTGTTTTTAAATTGTTTTTTTATAGATGAATTTTCAATTTTTGGACTTACATGATTTAACTGACAATGACAAGGGTCAGTTACTTAATCTTCTGAAGACTGACACTAAAACTTTAAAATTACCATGGAAAAAAGTCATGAAAAAGGATATTATTGCTACGAAAGTAGAATCTCAGCAGCATCAGGGTTGCAATATTATGACTTATCCATTGATGAACACACAATCCAATGAATGGCAATATAATGTTTCAAATGATCAAGTACCAACGTTTGTGCCCAGAATGCAATATGGACATGCTGGATTCAATCTTGGTGCACAGTTTCAAGATGTGAATTATAACCAAGAAAATGGACAATGCAACACTCCTAATAGAGATATGAGAAGGGGAGTACAGTCAGGATATTTGAATGAACCTATGCAAGTTTACCCGCAAATGTTTATGTATTACTCATACCCTCCTAATCATTCCGTATCTACACAACAAGTGTCTGGTGGACAAATCTACTATTCTGCGCCAATATATTCATCGCTTCCTCAATCACATCCAAATACTCAGACAGTTTCTTCTAATTCAAACGCATGTCCTACTTATCTTCCAAGTCATAATGTGGAGCCAATTAACAATTACGTACAACATGAACTGTCTCAACCTTCAAATTCAGCAATAACCAAACCGATGCCACAAATAGTCCCGCATAATGGATGTGTAGAAAATACAAGCATTCCTAACAAACCAGTTTGTCATCAAGTAAATAGTCATAACACTTCTCAAGTCGCCATTGTAAATAGTTCTATGTCCCAATTGTCTGTCAAGAATGAAAACACTGCCAATATAGAGAACGTGTGTATTGAAAAAGTTAATATGAAGGAACAATGCAATACAGCGTGCACTGTAAATAATAATTGCAAAAGAAAACCTGAAGTGAAGGTGGAGAAAGTTAATGTGCCATATGTAAATACTGTTAGTAATAGTATCAAAACAGAGCAAAATGGAGAATTGGAGAACAAACTCGAGATGAATCAAAATGGAGAAATAGATAGAAACTTGAATAATAAAATTGTTTTTGGTACTCCAACAACTACTATAAAAATATCATCTGAATCTATCTCTAAAGTAGATAAAGATATAGTGCAAAGTAAGGAGAACATTGCATCAAAGGATTCTCAAAATAAAACAGTTACAATATCAAATGGCTCGTCAACCACCTCAAATAGTTCCTCGTCTACATCAAGCACACCATCGGCTGTAACACCACCTGCAGCTACAGTCAGATCCTACGCCAGTCTTTTCAGGAAGGACAGCAGTCAATCAGTCAAAACACGTAAATCTGTGGATCAACAAAACGGATCGATAAGAACGCCAACTCAAAGAGAAGAATCCACTAGTTCAAATACTTCAGAAAATCAAAGCAACGTATTTTGCACAGTAAATGATTGCAAGTCTATGCAGAATGAAACATTAAATTTACTTGATGATCCTAATACATTCAGAATGGCTGGTGAGTATACAAAAAATATAAGTTTAAAATAATAAAAAAATATGAGTTAAAATAATAAAAAGTTATATACAATTTGTAGTTTTTGAAACAATAAAATTTACATATATATTCACTTGTTTACAGAACATTTGACAAGTTACAAAATGGACACACAGACTGTGAGTTTGTTACCTAGAGGACTGACGAATCGCAGTAGTTATTGTTACATCAATAGTATATTGCAAGCTTTACTCGCATGCCCACCGTTCTACAATCTTTTCAATTCTTTGCCAGTTTCGAAGAACAAAGGCAAAAATTCTTCTACCTACTTGATAGACAATATGTGAGTAGACAGAGTGATGTTGATGCTTCATATTCTCACTATGACAAAACTATAACAATTTATATTTTTCTGAAATTAATATGAGAAAATTAATTGTTATCTTATGTTGCTTAACAGGATTAAATTTGTTCGCGAGTTTTCACCATTGACAGAAGCTGCCCGTATGCCCAGAAAGGACCGTAAGGATCAGAGACGAGAAGATATCGATATATACAGCGGCGTTGCTTTCGAACCTTCATATATTTATGCTATTTTAAAGCATAAATCGTTTAATGGTGTATTTTCCGTTGAAGGGCGGCAAGAAGACGCAGAAGAATTTCTGTCATGTCTGTTGAATGGCATCAATGATGAAATGACAGAGGTATGTCATTCGTATAAGGTATGTATCTGTTTTCATATCATCATCACTCATTACATGAACCCTTAATTCAATCGTTGGCATTTATATAACGGCGTAAATTTTACTATAACACTTCTCTAAATAGAGTTACATATATTTTCTGCATAATTTCTGAAAGTGAAAGAATACACTTATTATGTCAAAATCTTGTATTATCAAACGGCACTTTAGATCTATAAAAAATCTACAAATAAATATCTAAAATCTACGTATAAAAATATACTTCTATATAATTTTGTGAAATTCTACACTCTTTAATTACGTGAAATTTTAATGTTCTTTTAAACACACAAAATACTTTGTATATATGAGGACAGATTTAAATATTGACTTAAGGGTTCAATTATATGGTTCAACTTCGTACACGGAGACTCACAAAAATAAGTAAAGTAATGAATCAATTAATATTTATCTTGCTTTTTAACTTGCTTTGTATAATGATAATATGTAGCTTTTTGGCTTTTTATAATTTTATTTCATGTAAATTGTTTTATTCATTACCGCCATTTATATTCACCTCCAACTAATTACTCTTTTACTACTTTGCATTACTTTTTCTACTTAATTTGAAATAAACTTAAGCTATATTTCTATTTCATCTATTTTAGAATTTTTTAATTTGTTCGCGTTTTATACATATAATTTTCTCTTTTTGTGCTTGCTCACACACATGTTTTTATTCTGCTATTTGATCTTAAATGGTATAGCACAACAATTCACCGACTAACATCAGTAGTTAATATAGATTATTAATGTTTATATTACTTTTGCACATGCAGTCTAAACATTTATAATTTATATAATTGATTTTTGGCTGTTTTACTTTATTTATTATTTCTCTCTCACAATCTCTCAGCAACTGAAAAATCGGTTGATTTCTGTAAGTAGTAGTAGTAGTACTTTTATATTAATGTGTTGTATTTTTTATATTAACGTGTTGTCATGTGTGTCATGTTTTGTGCATTGCAACTATTCTCTGTTATAACAATAATCGTATGATAGTATATCTTGGATTATCGTCTCATTAAAATTACATCACTGCCCATTTACTTATTCTCAGACAAGATTATTTTAAATCTTCCATTTTGTCACTTATTTCAATTATTGTTTCATAGGTAGTTTCTCTCTCTCTCTCTCTTTCTCTCTTATTTTCTTCATCAACTTTATCCAATATTCCTTTTCTAAGAATTGGTGAATAATGTGTGAATGGTGTGTAATATAAATGTAAAAGAAATATATTTTTGTGAATGTAATTAAACAAAGTACTTTATATAAATGTAATGTACTTTATTGTGCGTTACTCAAAGTTTTATTGTGATCGATATATGTTTCAGATAATGAAATTTATCAATGGTCATACTGTAGCCACAGAGAATAATATCAACGGTGATCATGGTCATGATGAGGAAGAATGGCAGGTAAGATGTTTGATTACAATATAACTAAAACATTTATTTTTTTGCACATTTCTATGGAAATTTATTCAGAACAATATCTAAAAAACTTATTAAAAATCATATCTGCCTCACTAAACTTACATTTAATTTTAAAAATTATTTCTTTATTCTAGATAATGGGACCAAAAAATAAAGGTTCAATCACACGGGAAATAGAATTTGAAAAGACACCTTTATCGGATATTTTTCGAGGACAATTGCGATCTAGAGTATCACGAGCGGGAGAACAGCCAACGGACAATGTACAACCTTTTTTCACACTACAGCTTGATGTACAAGTAAGTATAAATCTTATTATTAACCTTCTTATTAACCTTTATATTATTAAATAAATCAAACTTATATTATTTGTAATTTTGAAACATGTAACTTATCTAAAAATATCACATTCTATATAATCTTATGTTTTATATAAACTCAGTTGATCTGTTCAATTTTTTTTTAAATAAAGCACGGAGTGTTCCACGTCGTGCGCGTTTAACTTCACGTAATGTGCATGAAATTGGCGCAAGGAAGTATTGTGCCTCTTGATACTTAATGATATTTCTTTTTACAGAAAGCTGATTCTGTAAGAAGCGCTTTTGAAATTCTCGTTGGAAAGGATCAATTGGAAGGAATGACCTCAAGCAAAACTAGACAACAAATAGAGGCCTGGAAACAAGTAACTTTGGAGAAGTTACCTGCTGTTTTAATTTTACACTTAAAATGGTTCGTTTATAACAATGACAACTACGCTAATGGATGCTCAAAAATATTGAAAGGCATGGAATTTCCTGTGGACTTGAAAATCGACAACAGTATGTATATCAAATATAAATTTATTTTATATTTATGAAATTTGATATATTTCGTTTTGTTCAAGTTTAACATATTTTTTTTCATAAGTTATTACAAATTGTATTAACTTAAACTATTTAAATATCTTGTATGTTTTAATCATACTTCATGTGTTAATTCTATTCTATCTGTCTACATAAATTTTATACTCATTTAATGACATTTTCTAATGTTACTTTATATTTTATTTTTACAGAGTTTCTGTCACCGAACACCGCAAAGAAGTTAGGTCCCAGACAGAAACAATATAAATTGTTTGCTGTCACATACCACGATGGAAGAGAGACGACAAAGGGACATTATTTCACCGATGTCTTCCACGTGGGATTTGGGTGCTGGCTCCGATACGATGACAGCACCGTAAAGACTGTCCCGGAGAGTAGCGTACTCCGGCCCTCATCGCCGCGAGTACCCTACCTCCTGTATTATAGGAGGGCCGACACCATCGGCAGTCAGACTGCCAACACTAAAGCGCAATAAGATCCGCGCGGTGTTGGCAGAATTGTATATATTGTAAATATTGTTACTGTTAATTTATCTTTGCGATGTTCGGTGATAATTTCGCAAATTTAGAATGTATATTTTAGATTTAATGTTCAAAAAACATTTGTAATTTATGTAAATAAGTATAATTATAAGACATAGGAAAATTAAATAGATCTGTTTTCACAAATTCGAAAATTCTTGTTGATATTCCTGAGTGATGAAATACAAATTAAACACCGAGATTTTTTATATATACTAATAATAGTGCGGAAAAAACACTGCTTCCTAAACTTCTATAAAACTATTTCTATATATATATATATCAACTGTTATATATATTACATATATATATACACCTATGCGAGAGTTCTATATACATTTATATATGTATATATACATTTACCTTCAAATCCCGAAATAAATGCAAGCACAAGTTGATCCAGTGTTCTAATCTGGATTCGCAATTTTTCAGTAGATTTAAAGAATGTTATTCTCTAAATGCTTTATATGTTATATATATATATAATGTATTCTAGAGAAGAGTACGTCCTCTCGAGTAAACCAAAACAATTTGAAGCTTAAAACAAACAACTTCAGAAAAGTTGTCTGTTATTCCAATATATCATTTTAGAATAGCGTGTTGATATTTCTGATACATACACGCTACATAGAGGACTTGAAAATATTTGAATACAAATATATATATATATATATGTTCTTTTTCTGAAATAAGATTACTGAAGATGTTGCTAGTTTTTTAATTTCTTCAAGAAAACGAAAATGTGAAAAAGATTTTTAATATTTGAGAAAACGTGTGTATAAAATATAGAGTAGAGAGTATAGATTATTTTTTTATATAATATATCTATATACAACAGAGACCGATTTCAACTTGCCAGTTGTTCGTCATTATATATTACTATTTTTCTAATCAGTATTTTTAAACGTCATTTAATAAGTCATACAGTTTTGTATGCATACATTTTGTTTGACTAGATTTTCCTGTACATAATTTATCAAACACATTCGACTTATTTCAGTAATTAAAGAACACAGCTGGCAAAGAGATAAAGAACTGAAAAATTGTCATAACAACTACATACAAAAATAAAAACTGCATTTTTTGGATTTAACCTTTCCTAAGTATGCATATTATTGCATGTTAATAGTTTTGCAATAATTTTTCTTGTGTTCAGAATCATCCGTGATCTGTCACATATATATTTCGTAATCTTGGTGTCCGATCAATTAAATTTTATATGCAACTTTACGTAAAATACAGTTGCAGCATAAATTTCAATAAATAATTTCAAAAATTAATGAAATTATGTCATAGTATATAAAACTTATATAATTTACAATATATATATAAGCATATAATATGTATATATACTATATGTACATATAGATGTGTATAGTATTTTGTATACACATACTGTATATGTCATATATGTATATATGTTTGTAATACTAACAAGAGTAAAATGCATACTTTAAAGGAAAGTTTCGAACCTAATTATGACTCACGCATGAACATAATACCTCTGATTTCGTTTAACTCTCTTCTGAGTAAATATATTTGAAGTTTATAACAAAACTATAAAAGTTATACAATAAATTTGATTAAAAATGTATTATATCATACTTTCGAAACACATGAAGTTTTATTATAATTCCTGTGAAATATTCCTCTTTTCTATTTAAAATTATGAATGTCTTTGATTGCTTAGAAAGAAAGAATTTAGAAACTTAACCAGTATACACGGCTTACAAAAACTTGTTTCATCCTCAGGACAGACTTTAAGTCTAACTATGTAAATATAATTTTCCAGATTTATGGGGCCATGAACTGAAGGATACAATCCTTAATATAAATTCTTATTTACTTATTAAATTTATCTAATAAACGATCTAATGTACTTGTACTCAATATAATAATGTACATAAATAATTCTGAACATCATAACAAATACACATGATATATACACAATTGCAAACTTTGACAAACATTCTTCACAAAATAGACAATACCACTGCTAAAAATGTGGCAGACAGACTTTACCCGCAAAGAGTTCAGAGATAACTGTAATCCACAGAGCTAATACAAATAGAATGTATGCAATTCCAACTTGATGAGAGTTAGGTAATTGATATGGTTGGCCACCAATTTCATCAATGTCAAATCCCATTGGAAATATAACAGCTGCCGTACAAAACAGTACCACTGAAATTAAATTGTTGTTTATGTTATATTATTCACTTAATAATTCACAGAAGTAGCTCAAGTATCATGGCAACTGATACGTTGATCACTCTGTATACTTATGTGTATGTGATATTTACTATTTCATTATTTAAATTACAAAAAAACATAAAACTACATATTGTGTGTATGCTTTTTATTTATACTACATATAGTACATTTTTCTTTATACGTACTGGCACCAAATCCCACCCAACGTGCGTATGCAATGACACAACGATCCCAGTGTGAAATGACCATCAATATTATGGTTGCTGTGATCAAAATGCAACCTACAAATATGCAGATCAATGCGATCAACCAGTGTGGTTTCAGATCTGATTTGTAACACACTTGCGGTCTGTTATATAAAGTCACGCACGACCACATAAGACCGAATCTCGTATCACCTGTTAAAAACAAAACAAACTCAAATTCTTATTTGACTTAGCTAGAGGGTATATATGTTTTGCAACTTTGAACATTGTAATTGTTATTTCAAATCTATTTTGTTGAGCATTCGATTATGTTCTCAGGAAATAAACATCCAACTGTCTAGAATATTCGCAACTCATTATCATGAAAAAAAAAAAAGAAAAACATGTACGAAGGTAAAATCTTTTTGCTGAGTGCAAAGAGCTGATTGAAAAGAGAATTTATATTTAACATTTACCGCCGACATCGGTGATGATCCAGTCCGGCATTGCGATACTGATTATAGCAATAACGTCGGCGAATAGGAATAATATTCCCGAAACAACAGTCAATTTGTCCATTTTTGCACTTAGAATAGTTGACAGTCGGCAAGAATTGGCACTTCGTTTGGAATATACGCCGCTACATTTACGTGGTCCTCATATCTTGCTGTCACGCACCGTCACGTCTAACAATCATCGTCGTGATTTTATCCGTGTGTCGATTCGCGAAGACATCATTATTTACTGACAGACACGACCGTATCGCTGCGTATCAACAGTTACATTGCAAGACAAGGTCCATGTTGTCAGAAATGTAGCGGCGTGGTTTTATTAACTTTTACACCAGGTGGCGACACTTTTTCTTATTTAGCATCTGATCGACTTACACGCGCTATCGATACGCGTGAACGATAATGTAATTCGACTCGAAGTTACCGCGAAAAAAGAGCGCGTCTTTGTTTCACAGAGTGCGGAAAGAAAGGATCATGATTTGATAGACCTTAATTTAAAAAAATACTGCTATTAACAAGCTATTAGAAATTGTTTTATTAATATTCACTGACGTTTTACATGCAGATTTTATCACTGTATATTGAAAAATAAGATAACAACAACAATGAGAAATATACTAAAGTGGTGGAAATTGCACGTGAAAAACGGCTAAGTCATTATAAACTTTCTGGACACAATATAATCACAATTATATATTTTTTTGTCAAAATAGAAGGAAAAATGTGGATATAGGATATAAAATATCAAATAACACATTACGGTCGTTCGTGATATCTTTGAGATATATCTTTCATTTCATGCGAATAAGACGTACAATTTGCTTCTAATTTCACACACGTCCTAAAAGTGATACAAACTACAATATGTTCGTCGGAGATACTATCAATTAATCGCTCCTATATGAGTTTACAGCTCAAACAACATGACACAAACGACATGATCTTGCTTGATATGTGTTCTCTGACTAAATATTTGTTTTCGTTCATCATCTCGAAAATTTGAAATTGCAAAATATTAAATAATGACACATTCTTACTTCATAGAAGCGTTTACGCAATTTTTTTTTATTATTTATAATTGTCTCACTTTGACACAAATTCTCCAAATCGATCTTTTCGCGTTCTCGTACAAACGAGATTTTTTTAGCTTTAATAAATGTCTGCTGTTTTTTTTTTTGTTTTTTATTTCTTATGCATAAAAGCGCATCATATGATAGTTTCGAAGAGTTTTACTACCTCTAACCAACCGTCTCGTTCATTAACTTTATGATTTGATCCTACGAAGTGTAGTTTATGGCTAGTTTCATAGAGATATTAACAGCGTACTAATTAGAACGGACGAAAAAATTATGCTCAGAGTCGTTGTCGAAATCCCGGGTCCGGGTGTAGCCGCGTTGCAAAAATCGGACGTACAGGAACACACCTCTTGTCTACCACCGAAACCGCTTCGTTGGTAACACTTGGTCTTGTAGGCCGACTCGTCCCATCCGCATCCTCGAATGACCCTCGTGTCGGGTGGCACTGTGTCATTCAAAATGATATATATGTTTTTTATTAAATCGTACAATTTTATATAATATTATAAGTTCGTAATAAATTATATGATTTTTTTTTCATATAATATTAATGCAATTCTGACACGTACAGCCATTGACGCTAAACTCGATGACTTGTGTAATCTTTCGACACAGTGTATATTTCGCACCGTCCTTCAGATCCGAACAGTCTATCTTCATAGAATCTGGTGGGATGAGATCGGCGCACTGACTGTTGTTGCGACTGTTGCACTGATAACATTGCCTAGCATTGACACCTGTAAAATAATGTTTATTTCACGATTACTTTTTCTTATCTATATCTTAATTAATGTTGCTTATCGAGTGGAAGAACATGTTTAATCATTTCGTGATTAAATTACAACGTTTATAATTGTTTTAAATAAAAATTTCTCTCACTTTTTCTCTGTCGCTACTGGTTTTTTTCTTAAATTAAATAATAATTATACTAAGAAAATTAAGTTATCACGATTGGATATATATATTATTATTCTTGAAAGCTTGCTTATACATATACTTGTAACATTATTTTGCTCATCACGCGATAACGCAAGGTTAAAGATCAAACCACAAAGAAGATAAGTTGAACGATCAAACCGACGTATTTTATGTAGATTCGTCGTTACTAGATATTATGTTTTCTTTATCGTAGAAATCACGTGCGTGCAAAATTGAACACTGCTGCTGTTTCCGAGCAGGCGCAAAATCTGTGAAATTGTTCTTTTGAAGAAAATTATCTCCCAAAACCGAGTCGAATAGAAACGTGTCTAGTTAAAGATTACAAAATCCATATTTTCGACATACATATATATATATATAAATCCACAATATTTTTCTAATTTTCTGACGTATTTGGGAACAAGCAAATTTCCTTCGTTACTTAAAAAAAAATCATGTAAAATTGATACTCTCGAATACATCGAAGTTTATTGTTGGCTTCTTTCGCGCACGCGATAGAGGTCGGGTAGATTCTTCTCTCTCTCTCGTAACCGTTGTTACTAAAAATATACTGTATGTGTGTGGGAGTTACGTGAATTAAGTAACACACGAGTGCAAAATATATTTTTGGCGACAGAAAGAGAAAGAAAGAGAGAGATGCGATATAATTCACAACAATATTGCGTTACGATGTAGTCGTTGCATATGATCGTTTTGTACATACGCGATAACTTAGCAGGCTTATGTTTATCACAAAATTAAATTAACATATATTGCGAATTTGCGAAAAGACAACTAACAGAACGATATTGCACTCTCTTTTTCGATCATTCTTTGTGTTATGTGTACACACACGGATATAGTTCATCGAACTCTCATAGTGGTGCTACCTCGCAGAGAAAAATCAATGCAGCTACGCCAGCTACGTCCGCGGAAACACGTATTCGTGTAACACAGTGCGCTTTTATCCGCAATCTTCTTTCAAAGCCAATAAGCAGAATGCCAGCAAATAGGCAGCAAAAATTCGATCGGCGACAGATATGGTATCATTTTGTACATCTGCATTGACCTCACGTTCCGCAAGTTAGAACGTTATCTGCGGAACTTAATCTGACCGCAAATTGGCGGTAGAAATCAAGCAGATTTCTTTCGAATGCGGTTCTCTGCCGCCGATCCGACTCCGAAAACTGCGTTTGACAGATCCGCTCTGAGATTTTCGCTGCCAATTTGTCCGCAACACGCGAACAATTTACTCTCTTGTTATATTTCTCTCTCGAAGAAAAATAAAAATTAGTTCGACATTTTATTATTGTCAAAATATTTTTCCACACAAATCGTCCAATTTTATTTCCGCACATTTGATCATATCATCACACATTGGCATTTATACGGCTAAAATGCCAAATATTTTGCTTGAAACTCACACTTATTGGCTGAGATTTGTTCGCAAAATATCATTCATATAAAATTGTTTCGCCTCGATTACATAAATTGTTGTTCAAATATTTTTCGATCACTTTTGCACAAACACACATCCGTATCGTTTTTTTTTTTTTTTTTCAATATACGCGCATCACACTTTTGCGATCACTTACCACTGCAGAGAAACAGAATGATGCTGCACAAAGTGATATCGAGAGATATTCTAAGAGTTTTCTTCATTGTGTTCTTGTTCTTCTTCGTCTTCTTGAAGAGATTGAGAAAAGCGAGTGTCGTTTCACTGAGAAGTTTCACTGTTGTGCGTACAGATGTAATATACACGAAAGAGATATATTAAATATGTACATACAATCAGGATAGAAGACGCACACAGAGAATTGTTGAACCAGTTCAAAGAAACGACACAAGGAAAAAAAAGGAATGAAATGGAAAAACCCGAATGTAAAGAGAGAATGGAGAAGAAGACCTCAAGATATCATTTGACCTGGACAAGTGAGTAAGCACTGGTAATGTTCGGCACCAGAGTGGCACAAGCCTGGTAACTCTAGCATCAATATATATACAGTATATACACCGAACGGTACTGAACGAATACGCGCGCGATTACGCCCGTGTGGAAGGGAGAGCAGGACGAATATGTCGTGTGGGTAGCCCGGTGGCGCGGTGGGAAAAGAACATGGCGAATAAACGAGCCAACTACGAATAACTCTAGAAACAGAACCCGCGATCGATTATTCTGCCGCTAAAAATGAATTTTTGTTTCAATCGTTTTCCGTTGTTTACATTTGTCCAAATTAAAAAACAGCTTTTACGCGGATGTTTTGGAATGTACGTTTCATCACGTGCGTGCAAAACACAACAAGAATACGAATCCCATTACACACAAAAGATATATAATTATTTAACATACACACATATCGAGAGAGAGAAAAAAAACAAAGAGAAAAAAAGAGAGAGACAGACAATAATTAAATTTATTTATACGTGACGGTATCCCCTCATCGCGTGTAATCGCGAAAAGCTACCGGTGCGCAAGGTCAATTTCTAATATTTTTTTTTAACGAAATTAATTGAACGAAGATACATCGATTTATTTTTATCAATCGCAAAGTTAGAAATAAAAAGGAAAACATTAGAGAAGCAAACTAAGATATGAGAAATGCTAAGCTATATTTGATATTTAGAAGAAGAGGATAAAATTCTGGTTGTTATCAGAATGCACGCTGTGATATAAATGTGATATAATGCGGAAGAAAATAAGAAAGAAAAAAATTTCACTCATTAAAGATTTTATATTCGGACTTGTCAGAAGATTGAATTTTTTTTTTTTTTAAAGAATTAATACAAATATATAGGTTAAACAGATAAAGCTTTGGATGATGTGAGCAGCTTTACGTTCAAATAGAGACTAAAGTGGTGGTTTAGAGCACGTTGAGTGGATAATGTCCATCTTCCTGTGACATGTTTAACATCAAGAAACTGTCACACGTCAGTAGTCACTCACGTATTTGTACGTTACGTGTTTCAAGTCTGTTAAATAATATGTAATACACAAACAATGTTTTTTTTTTTTTTTTGAATTTCTCTTGCGTAGATATTGTCTACCTGTTTTTAAATTATATGCAGGCAACCACACACCGTGCTCTTCGTCTTTTGCTTTCATCGTTGTTTGATCGCAATGTTCTAGGTATAGAACGCGCTTTACCCGCGCAAATATATACTAGACATGTGCAAATTGATATTAAAGACGTTTTGTATTACAGCCATAAGATATTAACATATTTAGCATTTTTAGCAATATCATCTCTAGACGCAGTCCCTGACACACTTTTAGTATTTATGTTCTATATTGCCAGTATTTTGCTATATTACATTTTTACGCACGCGCGTGCCTGCGCACACACGCGAGACTTCGTATCAATCAGTGGCAATACAACAAGCACACCACGTTGCCAACTTCGTATCAAAATATCGAATATAAGTGTCTCAGTATAAATTAGTCAAGATAACACTTTTCAGATACTGGAGAGATAAAGAATTGTATTACAATTACATCAAAATACCGCCAAGTTCACAAATTTAATTCCGCGAAATGAAAATTTTCTAATATATCTCTTGTCATTTATCTTGATTCTACTTACATTAAACACATTGAAACATATGGTAAGGAAAGTTTCACCGAGGTTATTGCGACGTATATTTATTATTAAAAGATTAAATGACAAGGTCGATCACACAGATATTATTGAGAACGATTAATTATGCATACAAATTAATAATAATGTTTTTATTCATTTTTCTTAATTTTCGTACAGCACTATTTTTATGTTACTCCAATGTTATGCACAATCTGTATGAAGAGACACAGAGGTTACAATGCAAACAAGATTGTCCCTGTTACAAATATTGTTAATTCTATGTATCTTTCAGAAAGGTGAGCGTTTTTTTATAGTTACGGAATTTGTTTTACTTATTAAAACAAAACATTTAATTTACAACGATAATATACACATAGTCACTGCTTATTTCATAATAGAACGATGTAACAAGTTGTTGCACAATCGATCGATTTCTTACGCAAACTTATCGAAATCAATATTAGAAGTGTCCTTAAATAATCTCTTTTTTTTATGATAATTACGCAAAAAATTAAGAGTGCACTGCAATCACGTGTTATCAGTGTAGCAGCAGAAAGGATGAGGACTGTACCGTCAACAAAGTGCATTCGAAATATCTCAAACTGTGTCCGTCAAGTCACCTCTATTGTCGCAAAGCAGTTTACGTGTGTGAGTAGAATCGACTTAATTCGAGCGAACCTTTGCGTGCTTTTACACATATACAGACTTACATTGCGCGCACACATAAGTGTCGTTACGACATAAAAGTATCGAATTTGTTTCGTGTTATCCCGAAACGGAGTTCCGTTTAAGCTTAACTTAAACTTTGTGATTTCACGAAAACGCAAATATAGATTATTTTATGGACTCGCATAATGACCTGACACTGCGTGAATGCGCAAAATCGCGAAATAGCCAAAAGGAGTGTTATCGAGGACGCTATAGTCGGGATAGCTATCAGCTTGTCTGCGAATGCGTGGGTTACGGTTGCAATCGATCTCAACACTGCTCTCTCAGCCCCTTGATCCATTTCCTGTGTACACTCCTCGTGATTGTTGATTATTTCATTATCAGTAGAATCGTTTGAATTGAGAATAATCAATAAGAAATCACGACAGCGCGAGATTTTATCTCGCGACACGAGAATTAGAAATAAATCACCGATTTATGTATATGTTATTCGATTTTGCAAATCGGAAGTGTGTGTGTGTGTGTGTGTGTGTGCAATTGCAAAATGCAAATACGAGATGGCATTGGTCGATTAAGCCGACTTTCAAGGTGAAAGAACGCTACAACTGACACCTCCGATTTGCAATACCGAACGCGATGGAATAATCACGTAATAATCTCTTCGCGCTCTTCCATGAATATGTAAATATGTATTGTGTGCGCAGAATTTGTAACGTAGTCTTAATATGCATCTGTAAGAAAACCGAATTGTAATTATGCTCTGTAATGGGATTAAAGAAACTAAAAAACACTATTTAAGAAACAAAAAAAAAAACACTCATTTTTACATCTAAGCTGTACGTTAAAATATTTTTTGGTCGTTTTGTGTATTTCTTGTCATAAGACTCGAAAAACTTCAAACCAGACTAACGGCGTCAATGGCGTCTCGGCGTCGGTTATTCAGGCGCCACGGCGTCGCGGACACGCTTCTCTCTCCTTCGCTTATAATCCTCTTCCCCTTTACTGCTCCCCTTTTTCCTTCTCCTCTTTCTCTGTTTCTCTTTCTCTCTTCTCTTTGTTTCTTTTTTTAAACCACATTTTGTTCCGCACGTTCTTCATTAAATTTACAATTGATTATGATTTATAAACATTTTTTCAGAATTAAATATACATGTACATCTAACTCTTGATGTTTTTTTTTTTTTTTTTTTTTTTTATATCAAGAAAGGTGCCATATGTTTTCTCTCGAAGTTTGAAATTTTATATAGTAATGAAACTTTTTCATTATTTCGTGTGCGAGCACATAAATCCATATACAAAATCATTTTGGTATCATGCGCGTTACGGAGAAACTTGGCGAACAGTACAAAATAAATAGCCGAGAAAGATATGGGGGTAGGAGAAGATAGAGGGTGGCGGGTCACACAGTGTGGAGAAACCTCGCGTAGTCGTATTCGCAGTCAGTCTGTCTATACGACAACAACTCTGTTCTTCCAAGAGTGGTTGCTGCCCTCTTCGCTACGCGTTTGTATTTTTATTATTCAGAGAAAAACAAAAGTTGCAATAATCGAGATGTGTCGGAAAATTGAGATATTGCTCATCACTTCAACTCTTGTATTAACGGTTCATTCAGGTAACGATTTTTATACGTATAACGAAGTAATACGCCGAAGAAGATAGAAACATTTAAGTGCGGTCGTGTTAAGATTGAGAAACGGCGAAGTAGTGCGTGAATTAAGAAATTTGTATATTTGCATGCGTCAATACAATTTATTGCAAATGGAAGTCTTCGGAAAATTTACATTAAACAAACGCGACAACAAAAAAGTGCAAACTTTGACTTTAAACAATTTTCTAAATTTTCTAAGGTTTTAGGAATATCATATATATAAAATATAATATTATATTCAGAAAAACAATATATACTTATATATTAGTAATCTATAAAGAAATTATTTTAACGTCAATAATATTTTATCATTTATAAATAAAAATTATTACGAAAAAAATCGATTTGATTAATTTGTCACATGTAATTGATCTATAACTTAAAATATATTTTTGATTCGCGTAACAATTTGTGCGCTTCTCATTTTCTAGCCCTTTTCAAAGTCTTTAAAGAGAAAAAAACTTACAAAAGAAAATTCTTACTATCATATATATGTGTATACTATAATCGCGTCGCGATCTTGGCGCCACTTGGACCTTGCGACCTAAATAAAAATCTGAACTGTATCTGTGTGTGTATGCGCGCGCGTGCGCGTATATGGTAGTAAAGAAAAAGACTGCAAAATTGCAAAATTACATAAAAGATAAGTTTTTTAATAAATAAATACATGTAAAAAAGCTAAAAGGCAATATTTTTTAAGTATCTCAAAAGAAAATTACTATTTGTTTATTAGTTCAGTGGAAAGAAAGAAATACGGATTATTTACCGCTGCGTAGTAGAAACGCGCAATGGTCATTGAAAAGCTAGTGCTATACTACGTGCGATTTTGAAAAAATTCGTGAATATTACTGCAAAATAAAATTGTTGATTTGTGTCAATTTGACGAATTTTTTGTTTCATACTATTAGCGAATTTCGTACAAATCACAATCGCGAATCGTGAATGCGCACCTAGCACTATTTCTGGAGTTTATAAAAAATATAATAGCTATTGTTTGCTATGCATTTGCTGTTTATTTATAGATTACGTGTTTAAATGCTACATGTGCACTTCACTGACGAACGAGGGTTGCGACTACGCTATGTCAGCGACTTCCTCGTTACATCCGGTGGAGTGCACTAAAAACAACATGATACATTGGCAGAGAATCATTCTGCAAAACAAGCAACTCAATCCGTTTGCGAAAATTTTCGACGCCGACATGCCAAACTATACCTATCATCAGAACATACCTCTAGCTTGTGCCAAAGTCATTCTTAACGGCAAGTAACTGTAAATCGTAAAGAAAATCGTAAAGAAATCGTTAAGTAGATGATATCATATCAAGAACATCTACGAAAATTAACGTAACGTTTTGCTCTTTTTCAGTTGAAAATCAAGAAAAGCCTGTGACCATAAGAACATGTCAAACAGCTAAAACTGAAAATATTGATCCATGTAAAACAATAAACCAAAAATTAAAAGAGAATTCCCTGGGCATAATGGAGCAATGTTCCCTCTGTGTTAAGGACGCTTGCAACGACTCAATAGTTTTGTCTTCTGAAATAATTTATATTCTTGCAACACTTCTCGGGATCCTCATGCATGTTGCTTTTTATTCTTGGGCGTAACCTTTATCATTGTGTACTTACACCACAACGAAGACCTTTGTATTTATAAGATTATTACTCCTGACTTTGGATGCACATATATTCATTTTATAACTGTAAATGTAAATGATTCGATTAAACTCTTCCAACTAATTACATTCTATACGCATGTGGTAACAATAGAAAATATATATTATATATATATATATTTATATGATACTATTTATTTCTCATACACACACACACATATATGATATGTACTATAGTGTGCTGTGTAGGCTATAGACGTCGCAAAAGCAATTATAACGCGTATATTTATTACAAAATTGCCAATATAAGAAAAAAGTGTTTAAATATATATGTATTTGTGTATATTTTGTAGAAGTTTTTTCGGCAAATAAAATTATGTAATCACGTAGAACACACAAAAATAAATAAAAAAAAAAAAATGTTTATCAAATTTAGTTATCCTCGAAATACATACGTCATTACATTTTTTTTTTAAATACAAAAAACAACAAAATCTAAATAACTGTAAAATTTGTACATTCAAAACTCGATTAGAATAAAATGAAGAATGTGTAGAATGTTATTTGTTTTTTAACATCGAGTTTGAAAATTTTTTTGAAATAGCATTTCTGCTGAGATGATCTGACAAACGAGTCGCAACAAAGAAGCATTATAACTACATAATCAACTAAATAAAGACTAGCTTGATGTTACTGATGTTTTGCAATATTCGAAATAACAAAAAAAAGGCAAGATTACTTTCTCTTTTACTTGTACACTTATGTGGCAAATGTACATATTTTGTATCTTTATCAAAGAGAAGTCTGTTAACAGAAGAATTCATAAAGTCAAAATCAAGTGTGTGTGCATGTGCGTGTGTGTACATATACAGGGTATATAAAAAATACCGATACCGCGAAAAATCTCGAAAACTAGATCCTTTTAAACCCTACAACTCTACAACTTTTATCTGAAACACTTTTTTTGTAAAATGTCTAATTTTCGAGATTTTTTGCGGTACTTTTTATACACCCTGTATATTATTTTAAACAAAATATTTTAGAATATTGCATAATACTGTAAATATATATAAATAACAATACAAATGTTATATTACATGTTTTAATATAAATGGAATTTGATTTATAATTTTTGTTACTTACATAATTGTAATCACAATTAGAAAAATAGGAAATATTTAGTGTACACTTATTTTTTCGCAAACGATATTTTCATTGCGTGCGAAGGTGTGATTTTAAAACCTTGAAGAGCATCTTTCGCCGCTCCCGATTGAGCTTCATTCTCAAATTCAACGAATGCAATATCATGTCGATTAGGTACTAATCGTACTTCTTTGAAACCAGGAAATTGATTAAACAACATGGACAACATCATCTCGCTTGTCTCATCTGGCAAGTTTGTCAAGAACAATATTTGATTTGGTGGTTGTTCAGGCACAGCTGTGTTTATAAGGCCTGGATGTTGAGGTACACCAGCTTGATAACCAATTTGCTGTGAATGTTTGGCTTGTTCTTTTGCACGTTTCTTGGCGCGTTTAGCTTCTTCATCTGCAGCTGGGACAACTCGTTTCGGTTTTTTGGGACGTTCCGCAAAGGTACCTTTCATTTTTGCTATTATATCGCTGTCAGTTTTAGCATATTGTATCCTCTACAAAACCATGAAATAGAAGAAAAATAACTGAACAAACAACATCTTAACTTGTAAACATTTTGTGTCAGGAAAAAAAAATATGTTATCATTCAACAATACATATATATGTTACATATATCAGAAAAAGAAGAGTTTAAAATTATATTATCAATAATCTCATATAAATTCTTACCATTGGTTTGTCATAAAATGGAAATCCTTGCATGGATCTCAAAGCATTCGTTGCACTTGCTATTTCTTTAAAAATAACAAAAGCTTGTCCACGCATTTTCAGTGTTTTCAAAGCTACAATATCTAATATCTGACCAAATTGAGAAAATATAGCATACAATGATTTCTTTAATTCATCTTTCTTGATTTTTTCATTCAAATTGTTAATGTAAATAGTATTATTTGGACGGATGTCCATTTTTGCTAAAAATTTTATAAAGATATACCCTACCTGTAAAAAAGATAATACTTAAGTTAGTTAACAAAATAACTTTTATATGTCCATGTGCAATAAATATACACATTGAAAATAAAAAGAGAAATAATTAGAAAAAACAATCTCATCCTAAATACTTTTCTTATCAACAAAACTTAAATAGATTAGAACTTAGAGATAGATTAGAAACATATAATTAATATTTCAATCAATTGATTGTCCGAGATAAGTGTTTACGAATTTAAGATTAAATATATACGTGTGCGCGTATATAAAATAAAACAAGCGGATAAAATTGAAATTATTTCATAGATTTTGTGTCAAACTTACGTGTTAAACTATTTTACCGCTACTTCTAACACGTCTTCACAATCTTGGCTTGAATTGTTAGACTTTAGAAGGTTTTATCTTCAATTTACCTTGCCTTCAGTCTGTTTAAAATTTTTTTACTTATTAGTAAAACTATAGACATATACAAGGTTATGTTAAGCGTCGGTTACAGGTTTACTGCAGAGCGGTCTGAAACAATTACAAGCCTATGTCCTATTGTTCATGTAAGAAGCGATGACGCAAGATTGTGGCGTCATCTAGGATACGTATCGCAATAATCGCGATTGCCAAGTGGAACGTATCGATCTTAAGAGCCGTCTACAATGGAGAGTTGTAAGCCGTAATAGTAAGAAATTGACCAATCACAGACAAAGTACAGAAGAATAATCGATTGTGATTTGTCAGTTTCTTACTGTTACAGTCTAAAACTCTCCATTGTAGACGACCCTTTACGTATCAATGGGTGCGTTCAGACAACTCAGCGGTTGAGAGATCATCACTTATGATAGGACTATTCTTCAAAATCTGCTGCGGTTCCAAAAAGTATGATCCAATCAGAAGTGATTATCTCTCAACCGTTGTGCAACTGTCGAGTTGTCTGAACGCACCCAAAATCTTTAGTGAACTTTGCTCTGATTGGTCGGATTGTGATCCGACCTCAATCTCAGTGCAGCAGTGTAATACGGGCTTTATGCGACACCAGCGCTTCAAACGGAAGTAAAAACGCAGCATATAAAATTTCTGTAATTCTAGATTTTTTTAATTATGCATTCAAAACAATGTTTAAAAATCTTATACGGCCGTGTTCTCCAGTTTTGATCAAGATATTGATGTAATCAAACGATCCACGCATACAAATCACCGATTGGTCAGTCGGATCGTCCGACGCGAGTAGTCAATTCCCAACGGAAATAATCGTTCGATCGTATAATCGGAGAAATGATAAAATCTCGCTGTTAAGAATTCGATTCGATATCGAGCTCCGATATCGAAGATGTTGCATTGTCACTAGAAATCTCGTGAAACAATCGAGAATCCGTTGTTGTTTTTGTTTTTTTTTTTTTTTGCTGCTCGTTTGTTTCTCCTCTTCTCGTCGGAGTACGGACTACGGATTGTCTCATTTCGAGAGTGCAAAGAGTGCGAGCACTACGTGATAAAACGAACGGACCTCGCGTGGGAAACTCACGGGTGCGAGGAAGACGAGCGTCGAGAGAGAGAAGAAGATAGAGAAGGTGTCGCACATAATCTCGTACAAGTATGCGGGGACTAGGTGAATTGTGAGTGAGAAAGTGAGCGATAGTGTGCGTGTGTTTGCGCGTGTGTGTGTTCCCTGATATATATGTGCGTCGTGTGATAAAATATAATAGCGCGCTGTACATGCACACACGCGTGTGCCGTGTCGCACTCTCTCTTTCTCCATCTCTCCTTCCCTTTCTTTTTCTTCCTTTTCATTCCCACTAATCGTGATTGTAGAGGGCGGGAGGGGGAGAGGAATCGGAGAGAAGACAGAGGAGCGAGAGCGAAAGCGGGCGAGCGAACGTGCGAGTGCGAGCGCAAGTCGTGGAAGCAGCGCGAGCGTGCGGAAGAGTGGCGGTGTGTCAGCGTAAAGCGAGCGAGCAAGTGAGCGAGCTAGACGAGCGCGTGCGGTGGTGGTGGTGACGACTGGTGCCGTGGACGGACGGACGAACGGTCGGTCGGTCGGGCGATCGGTCGGTCGGTCGACGGTCGGGCTGTGGTGTATGGAAGAACGAAGGAAGAAAGTGCAAAATTCGCAGTGTGTTGTGTCGGCTGCGGAGTGAGAAAAAGATACGCACGCGGAGGGAATAGTGTGTGTGGCGGCTCGGTTTGCTGGCAAATCTGAAAGGAGGAATTTATCATCCGTCGTCTCGAAGGGGTCTCGCGCGCGTCTCCACGGGACTGGTGTGTCAAAGGAATCTGTCTTTCTTCTCTGTCTCGCGTTTATCTTGCGTACACGTTCTCTATCTCTCTTTCCTTCTCTCTCTCTCTCTCTCTCTGTCTCTCCTTTCTTTCTCTCTCTTCTTTTCTCGTCACCGATCGCCGGGGGACCTATTGGTCGAGAACACGTCAAGGGACGACGACAACGCGTGGACATTTAACCAAGAAAGGAACGTGTTGCGAAGAGCACAATGTCCGATCGAGAGAGCCTGGACGATCAGCCACAAAGTAAGAACAGCCGGGGTTACTAAAGCGTCGTGACCGAACCGTTTCTGTGTGTTGCCATCTCTCTCTCTCTCTCTCTTTCTTTCTTCTCTCTGTCTCCTTTCCTCTCCCTTCTGTCTTCTGCGGTCGCGCTTAGTCGTTAGACCCTGGCGTTGTCTCGTCGAGTAAGTGAAACGTCCGCGTGTCGCATCGTCACACAAACATGTTCTCCCTCTGTGGTCTCCTGTTCCCGTGCGCCCGAGATACTCGGTGCTTCTTTCACGCGACGCGGATATATGCTCCGCGTTCGCGTGTACAAATCCTGCAAAGAGAAACGCTCGGTCTTCTTTTCGAGCCTTACGGGAACGTGCGCGGGTAATCCCTCTTCCCCCTATCATTTCCCAGCCGCCGAAGATTCAGAACACAGTTTGTTTCACCGCGTCAAGTTGCTTCGTGCTTATCGCACACAATCCCTGTTTTTTCGCATCCTCGTGGCAGGTTTTATCCAGCGCCACGTGAAGAAAATCGCTATTTTTCAACGGGACGCAGGATCCAAAATGGCCGACTCGCACATCGGGCTAAGAGGATAGTCTCTTTTGTCCCCTCTCCCGCGTTTCGTTTCTCTTGCTCCTTTGGCCGCAAACTCTTTTCCCCTTCTCGTTTGCTCTCCTTCCATCTTTTCTCTCCAACACACATGTTCTCTCTTTCTTTTATTCTCTTCCTTTCACACACGTTTCTCTCTCTCTCTCTCTCTGTCTTTCTCTCTCTCTCTCTCTCTCTCTCTCTCTCTCTCTCTCTTTCTCTCTTTCTGTTCTCGTGAATCAAACATTCGTAACTTCCGACGTTGCCGCGCGTCGCAATGCCGGTTCTTCATGCAGTTCTTGGGTTTTTTCCGCTGGTTAATGTGCGAGTCAAGTCGAAATTCTATATAAATATGATTGTCGTACAATAAACAAGTAGAATCAGACAGTGTGATGTAATTCACCTATCTGTCTCTGCTCGACGTGCACGCACGCACGCACGCACGCATGCACATACGCACGCACGCACGCTCGGAGCAAGAACGGAGCTCATCGCTCGACGCGGTCTCGGTTCGGAGCTGATAGATGTATAAATTTCACACGATTGTACATTACTTTTCTTCTTGACTCGCTCATTTTTTTACCGCAACCCGTGAAATCGTATCTCTTGGCTTGGAAATAAAATATGGAAAAAACTGAATAGCATATTTTGGATGAATGATCGAGAAACAGTCTTAACTCTTTTTCACGTATAAAAGTGACGTTCTTTATATATCTCTCCCATATACGTAACACACACACACACACACATACATTCTTTCTCTCTTTTTCTCTCTCGATGATTCCGATGGTCGACACGCGCGCACCTTTGTCGCTCCTAACCTCATTTTTCACGACTTTTACCTCGTGCCGCGCGACATTGACACACACGTATACTCTTTCTCTCTCTTTCCTCTCTCCTCTCTCTCTCTATCTCTCTCTCTCTCTCTCTCTCTCTCTCTCGAAAATCCCTCGTTTTATATATTTCGCCGATTAAATTAGACTTGGGTACTTTGGAGGTAGCCAGTATTTGTGCAGATTATTTGTGGCTTGGCATGAAACATGTCTTATAAATCTTAATAAATGTGAAAATTTGTTTTACAAGTAAAAATTAAAATTAATGTAACAAACTTTTCATCTTTCTTTTTTACTCTTTCTCTCTTCTAGAGAGATAAGTCAAGTTCTGTCACAATGAGATACAAGAAAGAATTTTGTATGAATTTGTTTTTGTTAGCCAAAAATTTTGTCTTATTTATGAACGAAATATTTACGGGATATTACATGTAATCAAATTTTTGGCTAACAAAAAAAAAGTATTGTAATTATATACATAGATTAGTTTAGAGAAAAACGTAGCTCTCATATTTTATTGATTGATAATTAGATAAAAATGTTTGAGAAAGACATTACAAAAAGAGAAGACGGTTTACTTCATTCTCTTTATGTAACACTTTAATAAGTGTTCTATATAAGTGTTGGTTGATTTGTAATCTGTCATTACATATGTATACGTTATATGCTTATTCTACATGCTTATATGGTTTTGTTTTTATTTTACTAGAATATGGAAACCCAGGTGGCATGGATGCTGGAGGTGCAGACTTTGATTCCGGTGAGTGATGATGTTGTGTAACAATGTAAGTAAATAATTTTTTCCACGTCCTCAAAACTTAAATTGATCTAGTAACCATTTATCGGTACACAAACATTCTGTCTGTTCTCTAAAGAATGCAATTATATCGAGAAGTTTGTGTTCTCGAAAAAGAAAAATATGTCGCGAAGGAAACAAGAGTTGAGACAGGGAGGGAGAGTAACCACCTGCCTACAAATGGGACAAATTTGTACGGATATTCACATGAAAATGGAATATGATGCGACCGGAAGCCGCGGGATATGAACGCGCGACACTGGGGCGCCGTTAGTGGAGCGCAGTCAGCTGGTCGTGACGTCACGCGCCATGTCGGTAGGCGCAAAGCGCCGGAGGTGGTGGTGATGTCGGTTGGAAGTCTCGCCGCCTCGCTCTGCGCGCGCTTTTGATTTAAAACGCGAAGTCACGTGGCAACGTTCGCACGGGGATCCGCGAGCCGGCGCTGGGACGATCGCGGATTGGTCTGCGCGCTTTATCCATCGCCACCGTGAGGCGCGCATTCCATTGGCATGACGGCGGGCTTCATGAATGACCGGCATGCTGTTCGTAACTCGATTTCGCGTTTGACGAAAGATATCGCGGGATTTCGGCACGTTTTTTTTTTTCTCGTCTTTGTTGTTCGTTCGCGCGCGCGATATTCCGCATTTTTTCTCGCCAACGAGATACGAAACGGAGTAACGACGACGACGACGACGACGACGACGACGATGCGTACAAACGCGGGTTCCCCCCGTGCAAAACGCGATGTGTCATTGCACGGTGACTACATCGACTCGATATCACCGTTGCCTTTTCCTCGTCATCCGGTCGGTTCGATCTCAGTGTACAACGTGCTCGCTTTCGCGAACATTTCCACGAGATCTTTGCTTTCGTAGCATATCATTTTGCGGAAAGAAGAAATCGGACGCGATCTCTGACAGTGCGGTCGCGTTGAGGATTTCGATCGGGAATACGCGCGGGCGCGAAGCATGTTTTGTTTAATTTTGATTATAATAAAAACTAATACATTTCGGTGAGAGAGAGAGAGAGAGTTTGAACTCGTGTGCTGTGAAACGCGCGAATACAATCTCCATGGCAACGAACACTCACAACGACGTCTGCGAGGATACGTCGAAAGACTGGGGCGACACCATGGAAAAGATACAATATTGGTATCCGGAAGGTATAATCATGCGTCTTGAAGTTAAATGCGGTTTTAAAAAAAAAAGATGAAGTTTTTAGAAATCATTTCTTTTATAGAATATAAAATTTTGCGAAAATTATGATAATATGTACGTACTCTCTCTCTGTACTACTCGCGCAACAGTCAATGCGTTAGTGAGAGGCGCTCGAGCCACACGTGATTCATTGACACACGTTCGTTCCGAGAATCGTGTCTGATTCAAGAATGTTCCGTATGGATCGAAGACGATGTGAAAATATCTCGTTAGCGCGAAAATGAAATAAATCGAGTGACACGAACGTCGAGAAATGAGTTGTCGTCTTACAACGCGCGTAAAAATATCTGACAAAATATAGCATTTGTTTTTTTTTTAAATTGACCGCTTCTGGGAACACCGGTGAAATATCTTCACGATGACTCCAACGTCTCCGGAAAAAGCGCGAACGACCTGTAATATATTACACGACATATTGAGAGAGACAAATTTAAACAAAAAATGTGGGACATTTTTAACGGAGAGACAGAAACGTGAAGTTTACGAAATTTTGAATTTGTGAAGTCTATGTGTTAAAAAAATCAAAAGAATATACGTTTTTATTTTTATTCAATTGCGTTGAGAAATTGGGGAATTTATTATATGGAATATTTTCATTTTGTTAATTTTCTCATACCTGTATTTTATGAAGAAGTAAATCACATTTCGTTGTGTAACGACTACAAATTTCTACAATGCTATTTTCAAGTGCTCTATTTTTGGATTCGCTAATAGAATAGAAAAGAACAGAAAATAGATCGTGACTCACATATATATACCTACCAGACGTCATTTTCCGAGCTTAACAAATTAATAAACATTTTTTTTTTCCAATTACAAACTACAAATCACTAATATGTATTTTTTGCGTACACGTGATCGAATACGTGCAACATATTTCGAAGCGTATTAATTTTATTTAAATTTTGGAAGAAATCAGCCGGGAAAAGTGAAATGGAGGAAAAGTTATGTCGTTTCGTGTGATTAATTGTCATATACGCGTTCTAGAGAGAATTCTAATAATCGATTCGGGAGGGAGAGAGAGAAGGGAGTTATTATATCCAGGGAATGATAAATTAGATTTGCGTCTTTTGTGTAACACTTGGAATTTTCTGTCACTCGATAAATTTTCTCGGCGTTGTGTATGACGTGTGGGATTTTCTCCGTGATTCTTGCACAGATCCGGAACAGACGGAAGCGTCTCGTTCTCGTTTTCAGGCGCTAGTTGTGCCGCGACTTCACAGGGAGTGCGGGATGGACGGGTGGAGATATCGGGTGGGCACACACCGCGAGAGAGAAGTCGGCGTTGAGATTTGCGTTGAGGCAGGTCCGGTACCAGCGCCACATGCCGAAGCTCCCCAGGCGGAAAGATCAATGCACTCTCTCGTCGCCGCAGTCGTCTCCGCTATTCGCCAACACGGTCGTTTGATGTTGTAATTCTCTCTTCCCCTAATTTTCTTCCGCGTAGACCGATCCTATGGTAGAAGTTCTCGCGACGCGGCATAAATCCACGAACGATTCCGGACGACGGCCGGATGCGCGAGTGTGCTGCGATCTCGACGGTGGAAGCGTCGCGACGAAGATGCGACGGCGTTTTCCGCGAGCATTCTCGGCGATTCGGTGATCGAGCACGATAAACATGGACGAGGAGGGTGGTATCACGAGAGAAAGAACTCCTAGCTACGACGAGAGGCGCATTACCCGGCGATCAAAGACGACAAACGCCGACGACGACGCCACGTTGTCGTCGTCGTCGTCGTCGCGAAATGGTGGTGTGCCCGCGATGCCTGCGCTTCGTGTAACTGTGTGATGAAATACGCGATGTAACATTGACGAGACACGCACAAGGTGAAAAACAAGAAGGTTGAAATGGGCGTATGCGACGACACACGCCGATTGTTTAGAATCCGTTTTATCGACACTCGATGAAAGAACACTACGGTCGAAGAAGATGCATCATTCGTAAACCGCGACGATGACGTTTATGCGCGATATCAAGTAGCGTCTTGCGAGTGTGACATCCGCCGAAAGATGATTCTGTCGATGATGTCGCAGATGACAGTTTCCTCCTCGTTCGTGCACGGTTAGAAATGACAAGCAACGAGTTTTTTCGAGTAATAAATGGTGACTTAAAAAACGAAACGGGAACTAAAAGTGAAGTGTAGAAAACGGAAATTGAGAAAAAAGGGAGAGACGTAGAAAGAGCTTAAAGATGTATTAGAACACAAAAAAAAAAAACAGAACAGTGTGGTAAACTTGTTCAAAATTAAAATTGTGCAAAACAATTTAGTTATTCAATAAAGAAAGAAAAAAGAAGCAAGGAATCAATTTATTCGCGCGCTAATCAAGTCGGATTGAAACTCGCGAGTGAGTTGATAAAGAATTGGTGCTACACGAGTGTGCTTACATAGTCGAGGAGTAATTGAAAAGATCAGATTTGACAGAGACTGATGTCGCGTGAAACCAGCGCGGTGCCAAATGAACATTGCGAAAAAAAAAATAACAATTTACGAGCCAGAACAGCGAAGTTCTCAAGAGACACTTTCGGCGCGCGAAATCGCATGCAGCATGGCGTAGAGGAAATGCAGACGATGGTGATGCAACCAGTCATCGACCGAGAGCGCCTTGGGGAAATAGGGCATTAATGAAAATACAGACCCGTACGTTAACAGGCCCGTTTCGCCCTTCTGAGTTATTAAAAGATCGAGAGCAAAGTATGTATCGATAGACCGTCAAGAAAATAGAACGACTGTCAAAGGTGATTCTGTGAAAAATTAGAAGATGTTCTTTCTCTTGATCCCCACCCCCCCTGGATTGATATGCGACGATGCACTCATCGATCATCTTAGCAACGTGTTCCTCACGGGACGAACAATGGACAAAGATCCTTGTGAAGGAGAGACTGAAGATTCAGTACGGATGTGTGTGAAGCTGGGACAGATCTGCGCGATGACCTACTTATCGGAAATGGAGGAATGACCTCTCTGGCCGAATTATACCGACGCGATCTATATATCGAAACCGTCCGATTCGCACACACGATGACGTAAATGACAAATCTGTGAAAATTACGGGTAAAAAAAAAAAAAAATAAAAACGGCTCTCGCTACTTTTTATACGAGAGAGAATCTCGCGCGAAAAAAAGCAGAAAAAGAGCTATGACGAAAGAGGAAGAGAGAAAGAAAGAGAAAGAAAAAGAAGCTACACCAGGGAGATAGAAATATCTGTGGCAACGGCTGCATTTAGTTAATCAATTCGCGGCCTTGATGAAGATTTAGTTCGTGACTCTTGTATGTAGGTGACGAGAAGGAAAGAGACGGATTTTACGCGCGCGTAAGGAGCGCGCGAATTATGTACAGGTGCACGGACCGCAGTATCGACAGGATGTTCAAGAGCAGGATTTTCCAGGGCGATCTCAGCCCCGTCCCAATTCCAGGCAGTCTGCAACAATCTAGTACGTAGTAATGTGGAAAGCAGCCACCGGTTAAGCTGCGTTACATCGATCGACCGAGCACGGGTTCTAATTGCCTTTACACCCCCGAGATTCCTCCGAGATCTGCTATTGTTCTTTTTTTTTTTTTTTTCGAGTTATCATTGCGCGATGTACATAGAGAGAGAGAGAGTGATCAAATTATTTCGAAATTTTTTCTCTTCTAATGACCACGATGTATATATTCGACAATTACATTCGAAGAAAGAGAAGCAAAACTTACCAAGTAATTAGGTCGTCAACTTCCTGTAAAAATAATTAACTAATAATTAACCACTTCCGCACTTCCTTCTCTACTTCCGTAGAGAAATCAATGGAAAGTAATTATAAAGTTCGTATTATTTTCTTAGCACGAAAGAGTCTAATAAAGTATCTATTTACGTCAAGTTGTTCGAAATATAAATCTCTATTAACAATTGCTTGAATTTAGACACACACTGCACACACGCAATTCAGAAAGAAATTAGTAAAGAGATATGCGAAAAATGGCTCGCAATCGGAAGAGACGACTTAAAATGCAAAATCACTCGAGAGAGACGCTAATTTTCGAAAAAAAAAAAAAACGGATTTTGAGATACTCCATAGGCTTTTGAATTCGCTTTGATTGACGCGCGTCGCATATCACTGATGCGCGTTTTCATCTCGCTGGTGCGATTTGTCTTCTTGGTGGCGCACTCAAGACGAGTTTCGAAAATGAATAGAACGTTTATTCAGAAGAAACACACACACACACACGCACAAACACCGGCAACAGTTCAGGATAAGAAGGAAAAAAACATTATTATAAGCGGTAGAGGCGTGTCTGGTCGTGATAGTGGGGCATCAAAGAGGTCGTTGACCTTTTCTCTGGTGCAGCTGTTATTGATCGATGAGAACTAGCAACATCGCTCTGGCGTGTTATACCGAGAGGTGCTTGTGTCTATCCGACAGACAGGATAGACCATTTACGTAGGTCCGGTTAGCACGGTCGGCGTAGCGCGGGAGTGTCCCGAGTATATTTTTGGCCTCTTCCCGATTTCAAAATTGCTTCGAACTAAAGCCCAGGAACGCGATGCCGAGAGAATTTGACGGGGAGGATCGAGCGCGGGGTGACCTAATAAACACTAGGTCACCTCTTTACCGACTCTAACGCGTACTCCTCCTTCCCTCCCTCTCTATCCACCCACCTACCTACCTATCTATCTATCTACCTACCTACCTACCTACCTACCTACCTACCCTCTTTCTGTACTGATGCCACTTATTTCTGCTCATTCCCTAAGAAGATACTTTCTGATACTTATCGCAGCTAAAACTATGTACTTTTTAAATCGTTGGCAGGTATATACCGTTGAAAGAGTACTTTTGTTTTTACTCAATAGAAAGAAAAGACAGCTTGATCAAGATGTAAAATTAGTTGTATGAACATTTCAATTATCGATCTTGTTGATATTGATAATGTGTCATTAATAATATTAAAACAATTATATATTTTTTTATAAGCATAATATGCGATTCTGCTTATCGGTTTAAATTTAAATTTAGATCAGTTATTTCATAAACATGTACAATGTACATGAGAGAATTTGCACAAAGCTGCTTATATAAATAAAGTATTAATAAACTATTTTATTTATATTGTAGGTCAGCAAGGTCAACAAAGCGAGCAGGAACTGGCGACGAAAATGTTGCAAATTCAAAGTAAAAGATTCTACCTTGATGTAAAACAAAATAGACGTGGAAGGTTTATCAAAGTCGCCGAGGTATCGTCTTATCTCCTAAATTTAACTTGTTTTGCTTATGTATGATTTCAGCAAAACAGAGTTTCTCTAATGTTTTTATATAAAATATTAATATCGATATGGTAATAAAATTTAAAAGATATTTTTGCTTTATAAGATATCTTTCAAACGTTTCATTAAAATAATTTTCTGATAAAAGCAAAACTTACAACTATAATACAAGAGTACGATCTACTAGAGTACATATCTTTGTACATATAATTGTATAATAATTTTAATTATAGATTGGAGCAGATGGAAGAAGAAGCCAAATCTACCTAGCACTCAGTACAGCATCTGAATTCCGGGACCACCTGTCGACGTTTAGCGATTTTTACGCATCTTTAGGTACATCAATAGCACGTATCAATTAAATTCAGAATAGTGTAATTTAGTGTATATATACAGTCAATAACTGGTATATGTGAAACATTGAAGCTATTTGTGAAATAATTGTCTTTAGTTGTTAAACTTGTCTTTTTATTTTAATGGAAAGGAATATTTGTTCCATTAACTTCGTATTCGTTTTCAATTCCGAATGATTAGGTCCGCCAAATCCGGAAAACGTACCAGACGACGGAAAATTGAAGTCAGAGATGATGGTGAAGGATAATAGGCGATATTACTTGGATCTCAAGGAGAATTCTCGCGGCCGTTTCCTGCGGGTGAGTCACCCTGTATGTACCAGCCAATATACTTATTTTCTACGCTAAGTCTTAAGAAGAATTTGTCGGCTTTAATGTCGTCTCAAGAGGTGTGTTCTTTTCGATGGATGACAAAAACGGATGAATAGAACTCTTCTAACGTTTCTCGCCGACGAAGGGTTGCATGAAACCTATATACAACGATTCTCTCACAATATAGCAGAATGACGTTGCGCGTAATCATCTTGCGTGATATTTGCATTGATTTTCTCTTACAGGTGTCGCAGACGATAACACGAGGAGGTCCCAGAACGCAGATTGCAATACCAGCACAAGGCATGATCGAGTTTCGCGACGCATTAACGGATCTTCTCGAAGAATTTGGAACGGACGATGGTGGTTTTAAAGGAGATTTGCCGGAAGGGCGTTACATGCGCGTGGATAGCAAGAATTTCTATTTTGATATTGGCCAAAACAATCGAGGCATCTATATGAGAATTTCTGAGGTAATCTTTTGTAATTATAATAAGAAACAAACGACAGATCAACATTTATAAAGTAGATGATGTAAGAAAAAATTTGTATTTTTACAGGTAAAGACGAATTTCAGGACAGCTATTACTGTACCGGAAAAGTCTTGGGCGCGTTTCCGTGATATATTCGCAGATTATTGCGAAAAGATGAAGGAAGGCGGCGGCGGTGTTAACAGCGGCGGAGGAGGAGGAAGTGTATTGTCCGAAGGGAAAGGCTCGGTGGTGGCACAGGTACCATCGCCATCCTCGAACACACAGCCTAATCCCAATCCAAATTTAGACTCTCCTCTAATCAAGTGAAAAAGGCTTTAACTTAATTCGAACATTTGGGAATTATAACTCGTTTTCAAGTCATTAATGCAAAGTAAAAGAACTTGTCAGATTCTATGCCATCGTCGTCATCGTCGTGTTACTCATCGACTGCGAAAAATCGATCATCGATATGATCGTCGTCACTGATCACACCGTCATCGATACCATTATTGTCACCATCGTTATCACCGAGATACCGTCACGACCATCACCGTCATCGTCATCGTTGCCGTCACATCACACCGATACACTCTTACCATCAAGCGCGAACACCAAAAACTCGCCTGAGATACGGCCATTAATATCGCAAAGAGTATCAGTCGATTGTTGAATATATGTTCGTATAATCACATTTGATAAAAAAAAAAAAAAAAAGAAAAACAAAAGACACAGGTGAGCAACGGTAGGTGATTATTAAAGGTACACGATTGTGGCATGTCCCACACGCGCTCACGCGTGAACATGGGAAAGATAAAAAAATAGAAAGGGAGAGAAAAAAATGGGGTGTGTGCGTGCGTGCGTATATGTGAGTGTGGCGTGCATGTACGCATGTGTGTGTGTATGTGTGTTGCGCGCGCTATGTACGTATATATATATATATATATGTATGTGCGCGAGAGAGAAAAAAACGAGTCACTGCCGCTCGTGTGACTAACGGGATAGGTGAAGAAAAGAAAAAACAACGCAACAATGGGATCGAGAATATAATAATTATTGCATGATGTCTTTTTGGGCTGACACGAGTTGCCATTGCTTAACGTTATGAAGTACTACTGTTCATTTCCTGTTCTGTAACATTTAACGCATGCGTTATGAATCTTTGCGCAAACAAAGAGTATCACAAAATAGTTGCGCAACGATACATTAACGAAATTGTCGTTATGAATTACGTTACAGAATAAGGACGCTGGTTATTCACGGACGCATGTTTTTTTTTTTTTTTTTTTTTTT